GAGGGGAGGGGAGGGGGGTGAAGGCAACATCGACTAAGGGGGGGGGGAGGAGGTTGCCAGTTGGGTAAATTCTCCCCATTTTTAGTTCTTCTTTTCCCCCTTTTTTTTTAAAGAAGTTCCAAGCAAAAGGTGCGAATCGAGCCAGCTGTCTCACTGGGGAACGAAACGGACAAGAAACGTGGATATAAATGTGACACTTTTCATTACAATTTCAGTAACCGAAACTGACGCCGTCGATCAAAGTCTTGCAATACTAACAGATCCTCTTGATTAAACCGGCACAATGAAGAACTGCACATAATGGTACGACTCTGTGTGTGTGTGTGTGTGTGTGTGTGTGTGTGTGTGTGTGTGTGTGTGTGTGTGTGTGTGTGTGTGTGTGTGTGTGTGTGTGTGTGTGTGTGTGTGTGTGTGTGTGTGTGTGTGTGTTGTGTGTGTGTGTGTGTGTGTGTGTGTGAGAAAGCGAGTCGGTGCTAGTGAGTGTGTGTTTAAATGTGCGTGAGTGCAGGTGTGTGCGCGCGCGCGCGCGTGTGCACGCGTGAGTGCGTGCGAATATGCGCGAGCGAGCGCCAGTCGTCAGGCGCGGCTGGGTCGCCGTCCAGTCTGTCAAGGCATTTACATAATCTCGCTTCCGGTAAGAGTTCCCACACCACGACGACACTCACGGGGAACGGGGGGGGGGGGGGGGAGGAAGTGGGAAAGCGCACGGGCAGGAAGCACGAGGAAGAATGTGAGGAAAAGGAGCAGGCGGAGCCGGGAAGGGCCGGAGGAGCTCCTGGCGCGGGCGGCGGGCTCCATCCGGGGGGGGGGGGGGGGGGGGCGAGGAGCAGGGGCGGGAGGGCGAGCGACGGCGATTCCCGAGACGAGGAGACGAGGCCTCCTCCGTCTGCTTCCGCGAAGGGAAAAGCAGCTGGTAATAATTATGATAAAACTGGATAGACGGCGCGTACGTGCAACGGGACACGTAGGGCGGGCGGGAGGCGGGTTCCTTAGGAAGCGGCGAGAGGAGAGACAGGTGGTTCGGTGTGAATGAGGAGGAGGAGGAGGAGAAAAAGAAGATGAAGAAGAAGAAGAAGAAATAGTAGTAGAAGAAGAAGAAGAAGAAAGAAGGGAGAAGGAGAGGTGCTGGTGGAGATGGAGGTGGTGGAGGAGGTGTGAGCCGCCGAGCCTAGCGTGACTGTGTCCCCAACGGAGGTCGAGAAGCCTCCCCTCTATCCTACCCCCCCCCCCTTCCCCTGGCCGGGCCTTGTAACCAGCGGCTCGAACGTCTGAAGGAGGCGGGTCTACTTCCGCGAGCTGGCCACACCAAGCATTCCCACGCTCATGCCATCCCGGCGAACCACAATTCGACCGCCGACGTGGTCTTCGGCGGCGCTCCTCCCCCCCCCTTTCCTCCTTCTCCTCCTCTCCTCCTCCTCCTCTTCCTTCTTCTCCTCCTCGTCCTCCTCCTTCTCCTCGTTCCTCTCTCTTCTACCCCTCTTCTCGTCGTTAGCGGCCTTCCTTCCATTCATCCCCGACGGCAGCGCTCCACCGTACTCAGGTATTCAGCTTGAACAGGTGAATCAATCAGACGAGCTCGCCCCGACGGCCTCAAAGGGACCCATTTTCCCCCTTTATATAAGAATCTAGTTAGCGGTAAGAGTACCTAATTAACGTAAGAGCTACTCGACTGCCACTCACCCACTGAGCGCAATACCACACTTACCACGATTTTTTTTTGCAACGGATACCAATCGTGCAGAAGAAACGGGAGACACCAGAAGCAAACCCTAAGAACAACAGAAGTGAATCCATGAATGATAAAAGCATTATCCTCTACTCCAGCGAGATCTCATTATGGACAAGGAAGTGAGAGGAAACCGAGCCAATACACACGCGTTGAATTTAATAAGCAAATGTGACCCAAACAACTTGCTGTCGCAGTGAGGGAGTTGGCCTCGGCAGGTGTTTAAGGGGGCTGGCAAGGGGGCGCTTAGCAACAGCTCTACCACCACGAGAAGGGCAGGGGGGAGGGCTAAAGGAGGGGATGGGGGAAAAAGAGAGAGGAAGGGAGGAGGGGCGAGGGAGGGGCGAGAGGAGGGGGTGGGGGAGAAAAAGAGAGAGGGAGGGAGGAAGGTCGGAAGGGGAGGGGATGGGGGAGAAAAGAGAGAGGGAGGGAGGGGGGACGGTGTACCGGAACACGCAAGATGAGGTGGTCGAAAGATTTACGAGAATGTGATCGAAATGGAGGACTGGGTAGACTGGGCGTTTGTTTTTCCCAGGCGGAGACGACGGGAAATAAAAAGCCCAATCAGGGTTTGTGTAACGCTGCTTGACCGAAGTGTCTGATCACTTAAATGACAGTCTGACACACTCTCTCTCTCTCTCTCTCTCTCTCTCTCTTCTCTCTCTCTCTCTCTCTCTCTCTCTCTCTCTCTCTCTCTCTCTCTCTTCTCTCTCTCTCTCTCGCATCAACTTTGTAGTGTTTTATCCCGTAGAGTTATTCTCTTTATCAGAAGAGGCCCAAGATACACTGATAGACTGATAGCTATGAGTGAGTGAGTGAGTGAGTGAGTGAGTGAGTGTGTGTGTGTGTGTGTGTGTGTGTGTGTGTGTGTGTGTGTGTGTGTGTGTGTGTGTGTGTGTGTGAAAATGTGGAGAGCGGACTAAAGTACGACATGGAGAAAGAAAAAGAAAAAAACAAGAAAGAAAAATAAATAGGTAAATAGATAGATAGATGATAGAGAGAGAGAGAGAGAGAGAGAGAGAGAGAGAGAGAGAGAGAGAGAGAGAGAGAGAGAGAGAGAGAGAGAGAGACCGAGCCCATCTGTTGTCACCTGAACACCTCGCCGCCGTCAGTTCGACCGGTCACTTCCGGTCTAATTCATCTTCAGGCCCGCGACCGAGACGGGGAAGGATCTCGCAGACAGGAGGCGACAGACACACGCCTCTCCCCTTTTTCCCACTCCCTTTCCTACTCCCTCTCTCTCTCTCTCCCCCCTTCCTCTTTCTCTCCCTTCCTCTCTCTCTCCCTTTCCCTTTCCCTCCCTCCCTCTCTCTCTCCCTCTCATTCTCTATTTGTTCTCCAAACATAGCGTCGCCTAGCCAACGTGTCGCGAGTCGCCCCAGTGTCTATGTTTTGCTATCGCCTCCTCGACGCACACGACCTCTTTCGCACGCCGGTTTAGAAATACTCTTGGGCTCAGCCTTCGACAGACTTCGAGACGGAGTGGGGAGGGGGGGGGGAGTAGACGAAGGGCGGGAGGGGGGAGTAGACGAGGGGCTGGGGGTGAGGGGAGGGGGGAGTAGACGAGGGCTGGGGGATGAGGGGAAGGGGGGAGTAGACGAGGGGCTGGGGGTGAGGGGAGGGGGAGGGGGAGTAGACGAGGGGCTATGAGGGGGAAGAGGGGAGGGAAGGGGGTCTAGGGAGGGTGAATGGTCTGTGTGGAGGGGGGGAGGAGGGACGAGGGAGAAGGAGAAGGGTGGGGGGGGGTGAGGGGGGTTTGGTATCCAGTTGACAGAGAAGGAGTGATGATTGAGGAGTGAAAGGAATCAGTAGCGATTGATTCGGAGAGAATAAGGGGAAAGGAAGAGGTAAAGTAAGGGAGAAAGAGGTAGAGTAAGGAGGAGGAAAGGATGGAAGATAGACAGAAAGTGAGAATCAGGAAGAAACGAAGAAAGAAAAGAAAAGAAAGAAATGAGAGAGAGAGAGAGAGAGAGAGAGAGAGAGAGAGAGAGAGAGAGAGAGAGAGAGAGAGAGAGAGAGAGAGAGAGAGAGAGGAGAGAGAGACAGTCAGTCAGTCATCTCAGGCATAAAATCTTGGGGATTTGCACGCCAGTTTCTACGCTGCGACAAACTGACCCACTTTTTCACCGAGGATGAAAGCAGCTCTAGAAATCGCCAAACTCCCAGCGCCTAAACAAGAGACCGAGCCGGATCCAACGCACGGGAGTCAAATTCCAACAATTATTCCAAATTCCATGAATAATTATGCAAATCCGAGCCTACGAATTTCTTTCCTACACTTAAACTCTAAGGGATACCCAGGCCGTCCTTGCGCACTGCGGCCCCGGTAAGCACAAGCCCTTCGCGAAGTCTGGACCCTCGCGAGGCAGCCCCGCTCGGCCAGAACAAAAGAGGGGGACTGGCCGGACTCCGAATTTAGGCGTGGCATTTTTGGGCGACTTGTATGAGAGAAAAAAAATGGTGGCGGGGTCGCTCCACCTGTGGCGAGAACCGTCGACTTTCCCAAGGCACAGAAACCTATCGCAGCCTCTCCTTCGGGTCCTATTTGAAGCTTTTAGATGGGACTCGGTGTCTGGAAGCCTCTAATAAGGGCCCTGCTAGAGCCTTTGGTTAGGGCTCTGTCTGGAAACCTCTAGTCAGGGCCCTCTCTCTCTCTGTGGCCCCCTTCGCTCCTGTCGACGGGTTACTTCGACTTTTGCAAAACTCTGATCACTTTTTAAAACTTTTGAGAGAATTTGTTAAAGACAAAAACTGAAGATCGGATATATGTGAGGTTAAAGAGATTTTTTTTTTTTCTTTCCACAAAGCTTTTTACTCATTCCGATTGGCCCTGGATCGCGCACTCGGCTTCTGCCTTTTAAACTTTTCCTTTTGTGGTGGCTTTCGACTCTTCAGCACACAAGAGACTCTTTCTTTTCGCGAGTTTCCATCAGTCTTCACAAAAAAGAACTTGATCATAAAAAACACCATATTTTTGGGAAAAATGACATCTTCGAGTGGAGAGGAAACGTAAAAATTTGGCGTCCGAGGATAAGTCACAGATAGCACTCGAAAAAGGCACACACACACTTCCGGGAAACCGAGAAATGTCGAGTTGGGTCCACATATGGAGAGCCAGAGACCGACTGAGATCAGAGTCTACACAAGTCATATTTTCCCCTCTTTTGCCGGAAAAGAGAAAGTCGAGACGGAATAGCGTCATTGCGGTCATGGAAGAAGAGAGAAAGAGAGAAAAAAGTGTATGGGCAAATGTAATCTAGAATGTTCTACTCAC